GCGGCAGACGCTCCACCAATTAACCAGTCCTCATCCAAGGGGAGAACTGCGAATGTTTACATAAGATAATTATTTTATAGCATTTTTTTTATTTGAGATTTCTTCTACTGACAGTGGGCCGTTCCTCACCCAAAGCTTTTTATCTGTTCTAAGGTTATTGTTCTCGCATGTAAACCTCTATATGGAATAAACCTTTTTATTTGGTCCGTTGCTTCTTGTCATGAACATTGCCTTCAACCCTTTTCATTAGCAAAGCGTCTTCAGACGGTGGTATCTTCTGCTTCTTGAAACACCAAACAATCTTACAATGAGGCTCTAGCTACTGCACCGCAGAAAGAAACATTTATCCCTGAATGCAGATCTCCCGCAACCTTGTTCACCTTTGTTCAGTACCAAGCTCCTGGTGGCCATTACCAAGGTTTTGATTCTCATAAAAGAAGTTCAAGATCTGAAAGATAATGATTGAACTCATTTAGTTTATGCAACAGGACTGTGAAATAGTTGCGGTACCTTATGAAAGATTGTGGATGAAACCACCGTCTAGGAACCTACGAACTGGTGGGTGCAATATAATAACAGTCGTTAACGATTTTCTTTCAACGACGTCACTATTCAATCCCGTTAAGATTGGTGCGGAAGCGATGCTTTTCTCAAAACAGGCATGGAGCACAGCTTCTCCCGATAGAAACGGCGAAACCACTTCTGCGTTACATATCTAATAAGCTCCACGTTCAGAAATGCACTTGTAAATACTCGTTACGTCAAGACTTTTGCTATTCTTCAAAATACACACAAAACTGTCTCTGAGCTGAGTCTTGCTACGCCCTTTCCCTCTGTCTCATTCCTACTAATGGTTATGGCATGAAACCAACAACATTGTGGAATGGTCCGTGAACTTTCTGTCTTGAAAACGCTGCTGTACATTGTTTGTTGGCCCATGATGACAAATGGCAGCAGATAAAGAAATGGTTTACTGTGGTTAAAACGTTGTGCAGGAAATGACATACACTAACATATTTGGATTAATGCGTCGATGGACACCTCTCACACCTTGTTAACCTTCCCAAAGTAGAACGAAATATATACTGAAGCCGTTTTAACCTTTAAATGCGTGAATATGGGTTAAAGTCGTTTAGACGTCACCGGCGTTTCTACAGCCATCACAGGTATAACATCACTTGCTGGTTAGCACATTGGATAGCCAGCAGTCAGATTGGTGAAGGCGAGTTGTAGCCCTGTGACGCATTCGCATCATACAGCACTGTCGTCCCTCTCATCCGTTCTGGTATGACAACACTGGAACACCATGCTGCCCCCATTGTGCCCAAGTCAACAAACTGCTACCCGTTTCTAGGCTAGTTCTGCGAATTACGTTTCCCTTTTTCAGGGGAATTGACAGTTAAGGCAAATTTTGTCTTCAGGGTTATTGTCTTGTGTGCAAACAGATGAATTATTCTGTACAACACTAAAGGAGTCGCCTCAGTGGCTCTTCTGAGTTTCGTTCGATGGAGAGACGGAGGTTCAGTTGTTGGAAATGATCATTCACTGCTCTTGTTATCGCCATGAACCACTTTCTCTTCCTGATCTCCGTAACATACATAATGTGTGTCTATCCAGCGATGGTTCATTCCCTCATCGGCTTGTAGTTCTGTCGTCTCATGAATATGACGACGCACCATTTCATAGATGAATTTGACTCGTATGCCAACGGTGCAAAACGAGCAAAACAATAGACTATGTAATGACGTACGATTCACTATTCAAATCATCTACCGTCCGGATTTCATCGCATCACCAAACCTGAGTGTATATTCTATGTTGTTCTTGCATTGATCCGTTTTATCAACGTTCACCAAGCACGGTGTTACTGTCTATAACATTTTGTCCTCCTATGAATGATCCTTGATAAACAAATAATAGCAGTGATCGACAGTGTCTTCAGAGGTACCATCGGCTCATTTGTGATACTGTCATAAACAGTTCATGACCGCTGGATACTATTTGTTTGCATTGTGAATACCATTGCTATTAAGTGCAAGAAGATTCTGGCCTACTACAGATGTATAGCGTGTTTTATTTTGTGAATGCTCGTCTGTATGCGACTTTCAAAGAAAATGAAGTCTACAATTTTATCGCCATTACGGCCCACACCTGATCATAATTAAAACGTAGCCTTGAATAATCTTTCTTTTTTGTTTCCTTCATTTTTGCTTCCTTCCCCGTTCTTATTCATGAAGGTAAACCAAGATGCTTCATTACATTTAGAATATGAGCTATTGTTAATGTTTCATGTATGTATCTTTGTTGCATTTACTCTTGTGATAAGAGGACAAATGCCTCGATGTTTCCTCACAACTCTTTAAAGATTTGTAATAGGTATTTTGAAATGCTGTTTCTAAAATTGCATTTTCATTATGCTTGTATCGGTGTGCAAATTATGGGTTTGGCAATGTGTCGACATTAAGTAGCTACATGAATGCGATGACGTTTGTACGAAATTGTATTATCGCGTTTCTCTTTGTCATCTTTCATAGGTCTAGTTAATTAAACTGATCTGTATTTATAGGCAAGCGTTTCCGGTGGGGTCGATCTATTCCGTTGTAATCTCCAAACCTCGGTTATAAGTGCAAATTTTGAGAGCACCTTCATTGGACCAAGTCAGGTACTTAGAGTTACGTTGTTCTATATCACTGATTAAGAGCGCACACGATGTACAGTTATCCCAAAGCCAAAATGTTGGCAAATGCGTTCCCATCTATTTGGAATTGTACTTCATCGTCTTTGCTCCCATTTTGCTCGTCAATTTCTTAGTGATAGCGAATATCTCTACATTTCATTTTAAAGGTGGTTGTGGCTTATGATTGTATATCAGAGCACCATTTTATCATGCTGCTGACGTCGTGGCTCAGGCAAATGTTTCGTTAATGTTTCTCGATTTATTTTCACTTCCTCTTCCCATTCTTTGTGCAGTGCGTGTGACTGTGTTTTGATATACTTGTATCGTGTGTAGTATTTGAATCATGAATCAAAATCTTCCGTGCCTATTTAAGGTGCTACTGAGAAACGTCCATAACGAAGCGAATTTCATAATACGTTCAACGTTAGGCCTTGAGATCAAGATATTCAAGCTTATGGCCAAAGAAAGCTACGTCATGGCTCAGACCGACCGTTCGTTGATACTGTTTGAACTGGAAACAGGGAAAAGCAGCGAGGTGAGCAAAACATGTACCTGCCGATTGTCCCCACATCATGGTCATGCTCTTCAGGTGGCGTGGAAATCAGCAGGAAACGAGCGGTTTTATTTCGATTTCGCAAATGTACTCTGCGAATGAAGTACGTTTATTGTCTGTGTTAACTCTCCTCGGTATTTAGGCATGCTTAGTGTACAATGCCGGCGAAATGTCGGTAATCGAGTACGGTCGAAATGATATCCTTATCTCCGTCACTACGCAACGTTTTAATCCGCATCTTGTGAGGTAATTCCAGTGTGTAATTTTGTTCATGTTTAAAATGCCCATTTTGTGCAAATGGCTTCAACGGTTTTTAAAAACAAATTAATTTGTTTATTAGCTCAGTTTCCTTTAAATTTTAACTCGTCCATCAACTTTTAAGTGAACAAATGCGTTAATTAGCGAATGGATGAATGTGAAGTCGGTGAATGGATGAATACAGTCGGTGAATGAATGAATTTATGGCGGCATGAAAATCTGAATGAATTCATAAGTAGACGATGACTTACTGGATGATAAATGCTTTGATGTAGGATTTAGTGAATGTAAAAGTATAAGCATGGAAGGATGCGTGAATAAATGAGTGATTGAACGAAATAGTGCATGAATAAGGAATTGGATGCATGAAAGAATGCACTAATTGGTGAATTGTTTAGTTACGAATAAATTGATTAATGAAGAGAATTAATTGGTCAAGGAATTAGCGAATATGAATTAATAAATGATTGGATGTAAAAGTCAACGTAGAAAATGGATTCTTATCCCGGAGTTTGTCAAGAGGTTGAGTAACACCTTCATCTACTTTTTCATCTTCCGTCGCCGCTTCTTCTTTCGGGTCACAGAGGCAGACGCGTCGGACAGAGCTTCCAACGTTCCCGATCCTGTGCCAGAGTCTGAGCTTCGGCAAAAGACAAATGGAGTCTGGA